AACTGTGAGAGAAAGGCATTTTTGCTCAGCATCATTCCCAGTATATTGCTCAGCAGGAGGCAAATGGCAGACATAACACAGAGGGAGGGGCCATTTACTGAGTGACAGGCTGTGGAGTCAGCAAGAGGCGGCGTGACAGAGGTGAAGGCCACTGCATTATTATTCTGCACTACTACAGTTCAGATTGGACCAATGCCCTTTTCCCAGTACAGACTCTATGGCCAAACTGGATCAGTGAGAGGTCTGATCTGGTCGTGTATGAGTTGATCCAAGACCCTCCTAAGGTTTTCCTTCAATTACCTTCTCCCCTAACATCAGCTTAAACTTCAAAGATCCCCTCGCCTGACATAGGCATTCCCTTTTTATGTATTGTCCCTCTCTCCTCTCCTTGTCTTTTTGGCAGAGGCTCTCTCCTCTTGTGGTGTGTGAAGAGGGGCTTCACGGCCTCTCTCTGTCACTCTCTATGTCTCTCTCACCCTTTCTCCCTCTCTGGGGCGAGGCTGTTAATAATGCAGGAGGATTAGCTGATTTATGTGAGCCGGAGGCGCTGAGGAAAGCTGGGGTTCCTGGGGGCGACAGGCAGAAAGAGAGGGCCGAGGAGTGTGCAATGTTGTGGGCGGTGCCATACAGGAGCCTTGGGTGTCTGGATGATGGAGGCTGGATGTGTGCCTAGCGAGCATGCTGGCAATAATCCACCCCCCACTGCCCTCGACCCCCACCCTGCACTCCACAGAGCTCTGCCAGGAGCGCTTCACAGGGTCAGGGGTGATAGGAGGTGGCAACGGAGAAGGAAGAAAGGGAGGTGGGGGCTGAAAAGGAGGAAAGCATGGATACTGTATCTCATCAGGTTACCTCTCACCAACATGTACGATGTTGCTATGGTCTCCTAAAGATATGTAAAGTCTTCCTCATCATTTTTGTGTTTTATCCTGCAAATGTTTGCAATGGCAGTGGGAGTTTGTTTGCATGTGTTCTGTATTTTGTACCTAGTATTGCATCAGAAAACAGATTTGCTGACTTTGACTCAAAAGGTTGACTCATAGTTAAAAACAGTTTTTGTGGCAGGTTTTCTGCCATAGCAGACAATTCTTAAAACAAATGATGAACTAGAAAAGTGCACTCAGTAAAATGTGGGTCTCTGTCACTCTACACTGTTCATGTAATATTAGCAGACATAAAGCAACGCATTTTAGAAGTGTCCCAAAAGCTAATAAAAATTTGCGACTTGTCTTTTTTTGACAGTCGCAACATGTTGCACAGAGCTAGGGCAGCCTGCTGCTAAGAATTTTCCTAGTTGACCTATAGTCATCATTTAGGGCCATTAGTCGACTAGTCGCCCACATATTTAAGATATTAATTTAATTATTAGATTATATATTTTGGGCGGGGCAACACAATGGTTTGAGTTGAAGGTGTGAGAAAGAATAGTATCAGTAACATTGTAAACACTGTGCTACATTACAGAGAAATACAAACCGTACTAATGAACCTTCATTAATATAGGCCTATATTTTATCTACCAGTGCACGTCACACACTGAGCGAGCCGCCTGTTAATGACGCTGTCGGCAAAGCAGTAATGATTGTGCTAAGTGGCTAATGGGCATGTAGCTACTTCCATGTTTCAGATGATACGTCGTGTTTGAAGATGAAGATGAGTTTACATATCACCTTGGGTTTGTCCTTCACCTTCTCAAAATGATCCCACTCTTATGCCTTTTTTATCCCAGCTTTCCAGAGCTTGCCAGCAGGTTGCGTCTGAGGTTGCTAGGCAACCTTAACAAGCATCATATCATAGCCTATTTACCTGTAATCCTGAGTGCAGAGCTGATCTTCTTCCAGGCGCTGTTTATAAGTGTGTAGGCCTATCGTCCGTGGGACAGGTGTAAAGCTCTGGGTAGCCTTGCACTACCATGATCAACTTTTCCGTATTTATCAGACTGAATATAAGAGGGGAAAGATACCTGTCGGCTGTGATTGGTTTGTAACGTGACTCCTGACTGCTGAGCATGGCCACTTCCTGCGTCTGTCCTTTCAAATTAAATTCCCACACTATCTAGTCATATAGGTTTTAATTTATTTTGACGAGATGCAGCTCCTAATAGAGTTTTTTGTGCGACTGAGCGACCAATGAAATCTTGACTAATAACCTTTCTGGTCGACTACAGTTTGGTTGACTACAAGAGGGCAGCTCTAAGCAGAGCAGATTGAATTTTCCTGCTGGTAGTCGCTGTGCCAATGTGACAAAGTCAATGTGAAATTTAGATACAATGTGATTTTAAGGATGAATGTATTTTTAGTACCTAGAATACAGCCACAAAACTTTGATCCATGTCATTCATAGCTTGACTTCTTACAGTATTAATTTTGTCTAGGGAAATACCAACGAATAAACACAGTTAACTACATAGCAGACTTACTAACTAAGGATAGAGGTACTAATGTCAAGGAAAAATTACTAAGTTCACAAAATCTGCAAGTCTATAAAATCAGGTGGGCTAAACGTTCTGCTTCTGAAATACTCCACGTGTAGTATGACACCATGCAGCCGATGGAACAAAACCAGGTCTCAGTCATGGCAGCTGGATTGCTACCTACTGTAGCTGCACCTGGTGGAATTGTCCCTCCTGGCTTCCTTATAGTCAAGATGGCACTAAAGATAACAAAAACAGCTGACTTTTCCATCTCATATCGTACCTAACATAAGTGGATCATATCATGTTGGGTTTGGAATAAATCTGCAGATTCTCTGGTTCAAAATGAACTGAGTATTTTTTATGGATGTCAGTTTTTGAGCCACGATGAAGATCAAAATGTGGCCTGCAACAGACGGTGTGGTTTGTTGTTTTTAGCCAAGACGATTTCCAGAAAACTTGTGCCCCCTACCAGCCGGTAAAGAGGAGTGAGGAGTCAGCAGTCAGTGACGGTATACAACTGTCAATAAAACAGGTTTCTCAGCAACTGTGAATCACCTCAAGCACGAGAGGTCCTTGAGCATTCAGTCATAAATTTGCAAACAAAATATTAGGCTGATCGGTCCAGTGTTATTGGAGATTAACTGCGGACCAACAGATACACACACACTCACACATGCATGTACACACACCACCAAACGCATGATCCCCTCCAGGCTTACGCCTGATGGAGATAACAACAAAAACAGCATCACTAATTACCAAAACCGAAACAAGGAACATGAAACAATTTGCTTTTTATATTTTCTCCTGTGGCCAAATTGTGGAGGCAATTTTGTGTTGCGGTGTTAAATGTGCTAGTTAAACATTAAGGAGACAGTTATTGGTTTTTTGTGAGTTTGTAATAGATTGTCGTCTGAACACACACACACACACACACACACACACACACACAGGGTTGGTTTTAAGGTAGGTTTCAAGGTAGAGTGAGGTTGGATTGTGGGGGATTTCCACCTGTCTGGGGCTGTGGTGTAAATTGTGACAGAGGTGTGTCTGTATGTGTGTGATAATACGTGCCAGTGCCTATTTCTGGATGAAGTGTGTGTGTGTGTGTGTGTGTGTGTGTGTGTGTGTGCCTGTGCCTCTGCATGCTCCTGTGCTCCGGCCCATGAGCCATAGGCTATTCAGTGCAGGAGCGAGCAGCAGACTGATGGGTTTATCCCTGCTGTCTGCCCAGAGGACGCGCTCACTCACCGCCTGGCTGATTAAGACTTCCACGCAATTGTTCTCACACTCCCAGAAAAGGATCGATTCATGTTTGGACTGATTCATGCTTGAAGAAAAATCAAATCACACAGCGTTCCTTGTTAGATCAGCTCGTCATGAGGGGCTGATAATGAATTTTTACATGTTGCTCTCCCCAACGTTTTCACAGCTCGCCCCGTGCGCACAATGTATGATACACCGATGTGTGTGTTTTTGCAAGTATGTGCATGTGTGCTCTCATCCAGGCATCATACATATGCATGAGACTTCACGGCAGTGTGACTTGGGGGAAATGAATGTGCAAAGAGTCGGGCACCCGGGCCCCTCGCTCAAGTGCACTGGCGGGCGCGTAATGGGAATGTAATTTAAGCAGTGGTTAATCAGTGTGTTTTCTCCAGCTTGCCCAGCAATGCATAATAGACAATCAGCCCCCAGTCACACGGGCGTTGCTACGAATGGTCAATTACTCATCATAGTCTTGTTAAACACACAGTTCAGCCAGCCAGGGACAGATTGCTCTGCTGGTGCCATCATTATGGTAAAGAACAAAGCAAAGAAATGCTATGTGTCAGAAAGAAAGAGGGACAGAGGGAGGGAAAGAGGAGACAATGAGGATTGGGAAGAGGCATGCACACAGTGTATTTCTGCTCATCACGATGGGACAGAGGATGGAAAGAGAAGAGAGGAAATAGCCGCTGTGACAAAAGCGGAGGAAAAGGAGTAAAACGCCAAAATGGAAACAAAGAAGAAAAGTTCAGCTTGTCAGAGTCATGCAGAGAGAAAGGAGGAGAGAGAGACAGAGAGGAGGTGAAATGGAGCAGAGCAATAAGAGAGATTGAGGGCATGAAAGTGAGAGATGGAGAGCATAAGATAATGGAGGGAGGGAGAGAAATTGAGAAAGGGACACTGGGGAGCAGGAGCAAAAGTGTGTGAGAGCGAGAGGGAGAGAGCCTGAGAAAGTGTGTACTCAGCTGTGAGATGAGACCTCTGTCTGCCCATGGGGAGAGGCGGTGTGAGAGGAGAGAAGACGAGGGGAGAGGACTCTGCTGTCAGTGAGGGAGAGGAGAGTCTCACTCTGTCTCTTTCTCTCTTTCACACACACACACACACACACACACACTCTCACACTCACACTTACTCATTCACCCTCTCCCTAGGGCAGGGATCAACTCTGCCCAGCTTTGTGGTTCCACCTAGATGGCCAGTGGGCTCCATAGTGTTACATCTACATCTGATTTTTTTTTTCTTTTTTGGTCACATATGCACTCCTCTAATTCTAACCATGTTTTTTCTCCTCACCTTTGTCCCTGTGGGAATGCAGGCAGTGGATTGATGGGCAATTCCTCCGCCTCCTTCATGGGGACCTTTCTGGCCAGTAGCCTGGGTTCCCCCCCTTCCCACCCGTCTCACCCTTCCCGGCCGCCCTCCTCGCCCTCCTCACCCTCCTTCCGGGGCGGACCCCACTCCAGCGCCTCGCAAATCTGGTTTCCCCATTCGCATGAAGGTACCTCAAATCACACATGCACACAAAAACACACGCCCCTTCATCTGACCACACCGTCTGCATGAGGCGATATTCATGTCTTGGCAGTATTGGGGACAGAGCTTTGCAGGGTGTATTGTTACTCTGATATTGTGTATTTTTAGGCTGTGTTAGGTTTCCACCAAAGCACGGCTTGTAATCATCTAGCAAGAGCCAGGCTCCCACCCTTTTATTTGTGCACCAAAATAGGCCTGGGCCCAGCATGTTTGGGATGGAGTACAGTGCCACGGTTTCTGGATGGGGACACAGGGTCAAAAGTTCAGCCAAGGAATCTTGCGGTATTCGATTCACGTCAGCAGGAATGTCACTCAAGACTCTCTGAAGCAGCACGCGCAGATGCCAGTGCGGGCCAGTAAAAAGTTGCAGTGATTGCAGAGCTTTCAGCTGGTGTCTCCATCACAGCTTAATAGGGTAGTTCCCACCCGACGCTCAGCATTACAAAATCTTGGCTCTACACACATACACACAGTCAGGAAAATACAAACACACACTCGGTTCAACACCTCACATTTCTGCTCAGATACAGCCAGAAAGTCAGACAAGGATAAAGTGAGAGATTAATCTGCTCGGGGTATTTCGGGAATTCAAATGCTAAGGATGACAGATAAATGTGAGACCTATCCAATGCCACCCACTGATATATTAATGCAAGGTCTGCTTTCCTGTGACTTCACTTCTGTCGCTTTTAGATTTACACGTTCATAATCTTTTGCTAATTACACTATGTGACGGCCGCCTGATGCCATATAGTGAACCACAGTCTTTGAAGTTGTCGGACTCTTGTTATTTCAGCCTTCTTGTATTTATTTATTTCTTTTCTAAGAATAGCCCAGCTGTTAGTCCACAGGGGGACGCCAGTGGGGAGTGTTTGTTATTTGTGGTCACTGATCAGCGGCGCCCCAGTTGCGTGATGTGTGGCTGTGGCTGATTGGATGCAGTGCAGCTGAGATGCAGGTTTTTTTTTTTTTTGCAGTGTGTTAAGCCATTGGATGCCTCGCAGCCACCCCCAACCCCCCACCTTTCTCTTATGTCCTGGCCGCCAGGGGTTGAGTCAGTGGGCAGCTGCCACAGCGGTGAGGATAGGTGAAACTCTAGGCTTCCTCAGATAAACAGGAGAACGAATAAGATATCAACTCCAGAGACATTTTCCCTCAAAACTAATTTTGTAAGCATCAGTGTTTCTTTTACCTTATAGTTTCAGGGTTTCATTGTCAAAGATTTTCTTCTTGTGGAAAAGTAGAATAATATTAATAAGAGTGATGATGATAATGCCAAGCCTAATAAAAGTAATGGAGGTGATTATGACTGGGATTATTACTCAGTTGGCAATGGAGGCCATTATCTCTATTGCAGTTTAATTGCATATAACGCACTAAGAGCATGATTGAATCCAGACTGTTCATCAACCACATTCAGCTGTTCCCTCCTCAAGATAATTGCATATTGTCTTTTTCCTGTTTTGCATAAAAAGCAAGTCATCAAAATGAGCGGCACAATTACCCAGACTCTCGCCTCCTCTCTCCGGGTGTCAGCAGAACCCCACCAGCAGCAGAGCAGGCACTGACTCGTGTGTGTGTGTGTCTGTGTGACTGTGTGTGTGTGTTGGCGCATTAGTGTGTCACTTGTAACCTTAAAGATATTCTCTGGATTTTTTTTTTTTTTTTTTTTTTTTTAGCGAGCTGTGTTTTTAAAGTGGCTGTTTGCATGCAAATCCAAGCATAGCAGCTCGAATTTGTATTCAAAGATTACTGTATGATCCTCATGTCTCTGGCATATACCTGTCATGGTGCAGAATGTCTTTGTCTCTGCTCGTCTTCTGACACATTTGCCACAGATTAAAGCGCTAAAATCTACCATGTATTGAGCAATAGATAACAATGATCTCATTAGTCACTTGCTAACCAGTCACTTGGTGTGAATAAACAGTTTTCTAGCGGTATAAGAGTGTATAGAGCAGCGGCATCATACATTTTATTTGTATATCACGTAAGTCACCTGATATACAAATAAAATGTATGATTCTGCTGCACCAGTGTGTTGGATTTATGGGGATTTATTGGCAGAAATGGAACGTAATGTAATAAGTATTTTTTCTGTAACATATAATCAGCTGAAAATAACAACTGTTGTGTTTTCGTTACCTTATCTATAGAGATTGGTATGTTGCACTGCCATGTTTCTACAGTAGCCCAGAGTGGACAAACCAAACACTGGCTCTAGATAGGGCCGTTCGAGTTTTTGTGTCAGCCACCATTGTTAGCAGGCCTTCCACGATGACAGTGTTTGAAAGCACATAGATTTCTTAAACATGAAACTGTTTCATTCGGCGTTTTTACCGGTTTTAATCACGTGGTCCGTGTGTTTTGGAGAGGAAGAGACCTCTCTTGATAATTCGGCTCTCGGTAAAAACAACCTATATGTCTGGATCTCAAGTTATCAGAGATAAAATGTGAGCACACATTAGCAGGTGTTGGGCTAACAGCCCATCTCCAATTTGTCAAACAGCGTTGGATAAACACTGATATGTAATGTGAAACTGCTTTATTTAGTATTTGTATTGGTTTAAATCACTGGTGCACTTCTTCTGGAGAGGAAGAGACCTCTACAGATAATTTGGCTCTCAGTAAAAACCTCCTAAATGTCTGGATCAGAAAAAGGGTGAGCACACATTAGCAGGTGCTTGGCTAGTGGCCGGTCTGTCAGCCGAACAGCATTGAAGAAACACTGATTTCTAATGTTTAACTACTTTATTCAGTATTTTTACTGGTTTTAATCACCTGGTCCGTTTGTTTTGGAGAGGAAGAGACTGCTGCGAATAATTCGGCTCCTGGTGAAAACATCCTCGACAATGAACACTGAGGCTAATCTAACCAGGAGAATTTTTAGCCGGTTGCAATCTGCAATCCTCACTGCTAGATGCCACTAAATCTTACACACTGCTCCTTTAAGAGCAAATCCCTCTTTTCCAGTAATTGTCACAGGCTTTGGAAATGGAATTATGGTGGAGATAGAAGTCAGATGAAATATAATAAAAATAAGAGAGCATAGCAGGACAGCATAGTCCTGTGTGAATGTTTAATTTTAACTATTGAAAAGATGTAGAAGTGTTTATTTGGATCTAGATTTGTGTGTTTTTATTTCAGTAAGTGCAGAGGTGCATGAGAAAATAGCCACTTTTTCCTGGATATGAAATTGAATCTGGATTTGCACCAAAAACTAATCACAAGATTCTTGGACTAACTTTCCACTAAATTAGAAATGTGTTGACAAGATATTCTGCTGACTTATAGAAAAAGAAGCCTTAAAACATAAGCTCCTTGGTGGAGATAATACTAATAATAATAACGCATGGAGACAGATAATAATAAACCATGTCTTTGAAAAACAAGCTGACAATCATACATTAGTTTTTTCCACGGTCCACGCTGCAACAAAACATCATGTTCAAATTTGTCCAATTAGGAAAGAGCTTTTAAAGCTCAATTTTTGGTTTGAAAGGGGGAAAAAAATCAGAGAGAAAAAGATGTATTTTCAACTTAATCCGCATTAGCGCTGACATTAGTGTGGACATGGTCTGGGTATGTTTAGAGAGGGCCAGTTAAGTCATGCACACAGACCACATTTCTATTGGGAGCATGAGCGACAAACCATTAGCTGAGTGACACGTTAAGCAAACCTATAAATAACATCGCCGCATAACAGGGGTGGCATGGTCGTCTGGATCGAGATAACTTTGGCAGCGGGAGCCAGCGAATGTGGTACAGAAAAGTCCCGTGTTGACTTTTGTTTAAAGATTTATTGTGTTGGGAAAAGAAAAGCATTCAGTGTACTGTCTTACAAATGCTGGGATATTTATATACGGTGACAACAGCTAAACCATTAGTGGCTTTCATGATGTCAGAGAGTAGCACAGATTAAAAGAGGTTTTCTGTTTCGGTTTTCGGTCTTCAGATTGATTGCCAAATACAGTAACAGCCATTGTGCCTGGGATTGTCTGTTGTTCATTTGTTGAGTGGAGATGTGGACTCACTGACACAGAAATAGAGACAGACAGAGGGAGAGGGGTGGCGGTACATGACTGTGGGTGGAAAAAAACAAACAGGTACAAATGCGGTGTGGTGACCGTTTTAATAAATGTAATGTAAAATGTTTTTCATAACACCCGGTAAAATGGATTAGCCCCTCTGAGCTTTTGAAAGATTTATTTTCATGTTTGGAACCGTTATATAAACCCTGAATCCCCCCCCGAATCAACTGAGTGGAAAAATTAAAAAAGAAAAATGGACTAAAAGAGAAAAAACCTGCGGGCTCCTCACAGGCCTGAGGCCAGCTGGCTGTGGTCCAAATGACTTCTTACGTTATGCCAAAAACAATCGCCGTCTCATATCTCTGTCAACACATATAGACACGCATACATGCACACACACACAATTGCCTGCACACACCTGTCTAATCCACTTCTGTTTGATACGCCTTTCCAAGCCTATCTTCAGTTGTCCATCTTTCCTTCTGTGAGCGGTTGCTCGCTTTTCCTTTTGTGGGATTTAAGCTGCACCCCCCACCTCTCCTCTCTTCCATACTCCTGCCTCTTTCATTCTCCCTCTCCCTCTCTCTCTCTCTCTCTCTCTCGTGCCAGCCTGCATCCCTTCCTTTCAATTAGTCAAACCTGAAGAGATCCACCACAGTACTGCCCCTCCTCCGCCGAACCCTCCTCCTCCCTTTCTGTGTCTTGATGGTTCTGTCACTTTTTCTCAATTAGCGGACCTGACAGGCAGCTCAGCCTGCTCCTCCTCTCCTCTTGGTCTTCCTCTGCCATGCTCTCTCTCTCTCTCTCTCTCTCTCTCTCTCTCTCTCTCTCTCTCTCTCTGTCCTTCCCTCTCTGAAATGTTACAGCCATTTCCCCGGAGACAATATACGGCATTTATGTTATTTTGTCTTTTAGCAAAAGTGAAGAAATTCTCATGAGCAATTGTACAGGCTGGCATTTTTGGAGCAGGTATGAGAAGAGTGGGTAGAAATGTAGAGAGGAACGAAACACTCTTGTCGTCTGCCTCTAATTCAGCAGGCTTAATTCTTAACTGCCTCTAGGTGCTGTTCTATATCCAGCCCCCTTCTTTGTCCTCCCTGTCGGCCTGCTTCTCTCAACCCACCATGCTGTGAGAAATACCTTCAAAACTTCTGGAAATCCCTCCCTGGGATGCAGCTCTGTTTGTTCTGTCTCTCGCCCCTGCTCCACCTGTGGAAAGGAGGGCATGCGCTGTGAACTCCCCTCTGTCATTCACTTGCCGATGCTGACTTGTTTATGTGTGTGTATGTGTGAGTGTGTGGAGGAAAGGAGAGCGAAGCAGCTGTGCAGTCAGCAGACTGCACTAAGACCCTGCTCACGTCGCCTGCAGCAGCAGCAGCAACAGCAGCAGCAGCTTCCCTTGTCCTGGCCAGATTAATGGCTGAATGGGCTCTGCCGTGCCCAGCAGTCCCCCTCTTGCCGCCCCAATGGAGGGCATGCTGAAACTGAGCGGGCTGGCATTATCGGGCACAGCCAGACCACGCTGTGAAAAGGGATTACGCCGTCAATCGTCACGCTCACAAACAACATGCTACCGCGGAAAAAAAAAGCCCCTCTCCCAGCTTGGATAAAGACTGCCAAACAGCTCTCTGCTTTTCTCCCTCCCAAAATCAGAGAAAAACGTCTTGCTTAAACAAAGGACCCCCCCTCCCTCCTCCCACTCTAGATGAATTGGCATAAATGTGTGTGCTTATTAATCATGACAGCAAAGAAAGAGACAGACAAAGATGGAGAGATAGAAAAATAGGTGAAAGAGAGAAAAAGAGAGGAAAACGTAAGGGTATGTAATTATCACCCCATTGCCCTCCTCAGAAAGCAGCACCTCCTGTGTTATTGCAGGAGTGTTTGCCCTCTCTGTGCATTTCATTAATTAAGATGGGAGCATGCGGAGGCCGCTCGGAGACGAGGTCATTAAGCCCACCACAACACTCCTCCCTCCCCAGAGCCAGCTCACAGCACCGGCCCCATTGTTCCACCGGCAGAAAGTGAGACATTCAACACTAGGAGCTCCTGTTAAAACCACACACAAGCACGCACACACACACACACACACACACACACACACACACACACACACACACACACGGCCAAATGAACTGCATCTGCGCTTTCCGGGATCAGGTCGCACGCTTGCCAACACAAATACGTCTGTCTTTCATTTAGCTTGTAGAGCCATGTTTTCCTCTCTCTATCTCCCTCCTCCTTCCTTCGCTCCGTCTGCGAGTTTGTGTTTGAAAGTGAGGCTCGAGAGTGAGGCAGGTGCAGCAGGGGAAAGGAGACATGAAACACCTGAACTTCTCTAGATGACTCAGAGGTCACTGAGATGGTTGAGAGAGGTCTTGGACAGTAGATGTCCTGTCTGAAAAGAAGCACTAACACAAAGCAGCAGTGCGTGTCTCTGGTCTCTTCTCTTTATGTCTTTCTTTTCCTTCATCTCCTTCCTTCCTGTGCTGACTTCATGGCAATAGTGCATATAGGTTAGTTTTCTTTTCCTTATGTATCTCCGTAGCCTGGGTGTGTCATGGAGTAGATGGGGAGGGCACAGCTTTATCATCATGCCTGTATCACATTACATAATATACTCAGAAGAGAATATTCACTGTAGTTATATCACACTGTTTCCATCAAAGACTTCACCCCATTTTTTTTTAAGTTACAGTACTTTGATTTTTATTATTAAATCTCTTTCTCGCAAGCGTGTGAAATAATTAATTATACAGTAGTAGAGATAGGCTAATTCAATTCACACTGACTTGTTTGGATGTTTTAGTTACCCGATTGCGGTGGAAGTGGGTTGTCATAGTGATTCTTTGTCCTAATATTGCGATGGGCTTTCATCTCAGTCCATGTTTTCTCACTCCTCCACCTTCAAAGTCCTTTATGTTTTTCAATGTCCCGTTGCAAAATGAGTTTTGTGTTTGGTTGTCGTGCAAATGTCCTCCAGATGGGCTTGATGCAATAAGCCCAGGTGTACTGGCTTACAGGCCCAACATCCAAGTGACCTTTTACCCCCGATGTAGGTCAGTAAAGGTCACCCGCCCAGCTCTCTCTTCATTGTAAACACAAGCTTCAAATCCGTCCTTATCACTCCATTCAGATGGATAGAGGTGCGACTGCCAGCTCTGAGAGAGAGATAAAGAAAGAGCCATATGTTTCAAAGACAAATTTCATACATTACAGCAATCCCCAAGCTTGTCTCGTATTGTTTGCAT